CACGCTGCGCGCCAAGTCCTGCCGAACCGCCGTCGCAATTTTCTTTTTCGTTTTGCCTGCGGCCTCCAGCCAATGCGGTCTGGCAGGCCGAAGCCCAAATGGCGCGCCGCGTATACGGGAAGCGCCGCGGCCGATAGCTGGGCCAGGTACTGGTGGTTTAATATCTGATCCGTGGTGCAATGGACCACAAGAAAAANATCTGATCCGTGGTGCAATGGACCACAAGAAAAAAAAAAAAAAAAAAAAAAAAAGAGGAACTGTTACAGCTTAAAGTTCCTTCGGAACACACACAAAAAAAAAGAACTGACAGTGTGTGCACTTGTAGGCTTATAGCCATTGGAAGTGGCGAAATCAGGCGGCGACTCGTGTGTTTTTTTTGTTTTTTTCCTCGCGTGCGACTTCTTTTTTTTTGCGCGCTGGTGACTTTTTTTTTTGTTTTTTTTTTTGCCCCTCCCTCGGCTACCAGCCTCCTGGGTCACCCTATTTTGCCATGCCCGGCGGCCCAGCCGTGCAAGGACCAGGGAAGGTCCCAGCCAAAAAAAAAAAACAAAAAAAAATCCAAAAAATCCGAAAAAAACAACTATGCTATGCAGAAAAAATAAACTCAACAACTTTTGCCTCAGGGTCACATCGAAATTCTTTATCAAATTAAAATACAAATTTAAATTACAAAATACTTTTTATTTCGGAGAAGTTTGGAATTGCCCCTGTAGTTTGCGTTCATTTGTCATTTGCCCTTTCGATGGCCGAGTTACTCTGATTTGCCCCTCTGACAGTGATTCAAGTTCCCAAAAAATCCCTGGCATGGTTTGGGCCTCATACATATTCAATATGCCCCTACCCGTACCGATGCCAAATTTTCAGTTTGCCTCTACCGGATAGCCCGTTCAGTGCAGGCAGAAAAATCATCCATATGCCCCTACCGGTACCGTGCATCTTTTCGGTATGCCCCTCTGTGTGTGTGTGTGTGTGTGTGTGTGTGTGTGTGAGTGTGTGTGTGTTTGTGTGTGTGTGTGTGTGTGTGTGTGTGTGTGTGTGAGAGAGAGAGAGAGAGAGAGAGAGAGAGAGAGAGAGAGAGAGAGA